CACCACGACATAGCGCCAGTGTGTCTCTAGAATGAAAAATATGTAGTTATTTTCATACGCACAGTATATGCGAAATCACCGTGTACATTTATTTGTAGGTTAAATAAATTATAAATAATTTTTATTTATTTAGTTTCGTTTGCCCAAGGTCAAATGAAGAATTATGAAGATTATGTAGCGCCAATCTGTTCATAGTGTCATTTATGTACCCTTGGTGTTTACTCACACTGGTGACAGATACACCTGACTATTATCATTGCACTATGTAAATTTCAATAATTTACATAAAAAACTAACCTCGTCCTTGTACATTTCAAATTTTAATCCACGCCCTCATGAAAAAAAATTGAGAAGTAATCGTTTTTTTAGTATCAGTCATGAAGCAATAGTTTGGTTAGTAGCATTATTAAATTAATAGTATTGGTACTCACCTAAATTATAATAAGTTAGTATACCTTCTGGTCAATTTTTTTATATTTAAACCATAAAAATATATTTCCACGTAAGAATTTTTGTGTGTGAAATTTAAATTATTATTCTTAGTGGTATTGTTAGTAATTTTTAGTTTTGATATAGTCTCCTTTTTTTACTAATGTATTACTGGTAATTTGTTTTGGGATTTTATACACATATTTATCGAATTTAATATGCATGTAAGTTAATAATTAATAATAGTAATGTTTTGTTAAGGAGTACGCATGTAAGTTTAAGTTAATTAATGATTTGTTAAAGGAGTACCCTTTATGCTGTTGATGAGGATGGTGATCAGATCAGCCTTATTGTAGGAATGTAGGTCCAATGTCTCTGGGATCTTAAATGTGCTTGGTTGGTGAAGCTCCTTTCCGTCCACTGACAGACGGACTAGATTTCGGATAGGCCAGAAAACTCTGGAAATGCTTAGTGACCATTTTTTTTTTTTTTTTACGAAATGTAAAAAATTAACACGAATTGTAAGTACTAGTAAGTTAAAGTAGTAGACAATTTCATTTAAAAAAAATGAAGCAAAAATTACTTATTTAGTACTTTTTTAAAAATTTACTTGGTATTTCGATACTAAAATAAAAAATCAAAAAATCATTCTTCTTGATAATTATCAAATTACAACTACTACTTCAAAATAGTGAGTTCGTTTCTCACTGGGTGCCCCATACAATTCAACATTTTTGGTTAACATGCAAAAATAAACTCAACCACCGACTGCTACTATTCGTTGACTTTTCGCGTCAGTTAATTAAGTTAAGTATCTAGTAAATAATAATAGTCGGCAACCAAAAACGTTAATAAGGCCCTTGCAACATTAGCATGTTTGCCGTATTAAGCAGTACTGTAGATTTCACTTGTTCATTTCCGACAAAGTGTAAACACATTGGTGTTTTTTTACGACCACTGTTGTGCAAGCATTTCCTCGCATTTTCTTATTGTTGAATGTTATGTCAATAGAGCGAGGCCATAGTAGTAGTCACTCAACACGATAAGTCCTTTTTTTAACACTTGAAGAACCAAAAACATTGAAAAAAAAACAAAAAGAATTTTTAATTTAAAAACAAAAAATAAGAATTTGTCATTTTATTCTTTCCTTGAAAATATAAACAACTTTTTTCTTCAAGGTATTATTGCTTGTTTTAAATGAAAATATTGGTTTTTGATTTCCTGTGCAAGTAAATGACATTTTTTAATATTTAATTTATTAACGATGTTATTGTTATTTGTGAAGAAAATCGTTTTTAAATCGATTCATTTAATTGTAATAAAAAAAATAAACGAATTGTTATTGTTCTTGCAAAAATCAATAATTTAAATAAAAATTATTATTAAATTAAAAAAATGATTATGAATAAAAAAAAAAAACTAACTCAAAGTACATATTTTAGAAAAAAAGCCACAAATTTATAAAAACTTTTTAAGATTTATTTTTACAAATAGTGGAAGTAAAAATATACTGTTTAAAAAGGGGGTCAGTAATATGTAAAAATGTCATTTTTTTTTCTGCTCGTAGAAAGCATATAAATCGACAACTGACAGGCCAAGAAGCAGCTTTTGAAGCAGAATCGATATATTGTAAATATTTGGATGTGACTTGAAGATTGCTGTTGTTGTTAAGAGTCGTCATGTTGCTTGTGACGTCAGAGCAGCATGGCGAAGACTCCCGCCATTTCCAACAAGGGGGAGAAGGAGTGCAAGAGAAACCAACTCAAAACCACTGTTTATATTTTCAGCGGAAAATAATAATAATTGAAAATTACATCAACTATAGACAATACCGCCGATTATAGGTTTAGTAATGATCCCCTTCGTCTACGGTCGCATTTACATGTAGTGACGATCATCCCAAAATGAAAATTATTCCCTGGAAAAATCTAGGGAATTGATTAAATATAACGTCAACAAAACAAACCAGGGTTTCAATTTTTTCCCCTTGCTACAAATGTGTAGTACTACTATTTATCCTACACAGTAGTAGTAGGACCCAGTTTTGAAAGGCTTTCTTATTGGGGTTACAAAAAATATCTGGGCTACTTTTAATAATAATATTGCTGGTGATCAACAATGTTTCTTAGCCTTTTTTTTTATTATTTTAAGATTTAAGACTAAAAAAAATCAGCTTTTTAAAAGCTTCCTTTTCTCGAGAACGAAGCAATAATTAATTAGTAACTTAAGTGTTAGTTGTAGTTATAGTAAAAATTCACGAAATCCTTTCGATTTGTTGTCAGATAATCAGTTTCATCGTCAATTCAATATTTCAATTGATACATTCAAACAAAATTAATTTGAACAAATTATAATGTCAATTAAAAAAATATAGAAATAATTATTTGGGAAATAAATTTTAAATGGCGCGTTTAAAAAGTATTTTTTTGCATATATTTTTAAAATTTCTGCATCCAAAATTAAAGCATTATTTTAATTTATGCTAAATTAGGATTAAGAAGACTGATTGTTTGGGAGCAGTACTGTCTTCTTACAGGACTGAATTGTTTTTAAAAGCAAAATCCAGAGTTCCGAAATTCCTCCTTGTCAGTTCACTAAGAATTAATGAAGGCCTTAAAATTGATGTATTATTATTTATTTAGCAGTTGTGAGCTGGGAAGTCATCGTGTACTGACTCTAGTAGTGTAGTAAGCTTTTGAGAAGTATTTGGAGTTGTAATTTAACGTGAAATAAAAATTCGTGATTATTCCAATCCAAAATAAATAATTATAAAGAATTTTTCTTAATTTGCGAACATTCGTAAGGCTTCTTCGCACATTTTTTATTTGAGGCTTCGAAAGAAAGGTCAATGCGTTATGGTTCAATCGATTGATTTTTTTTTTTAAAGGATGCGACATATTTATGTTAACAACGTTCAGCTATTACTTTTTTTAGTTTTTTTGGTTTTTTTTTTCAATCAACCTGTTTTCCAGCCATCATCAGGTGACATGTCGAAATTACGAACTATAGATAAAATTCCAAAGCGGAAAAAAACCTGTTCCCTTTCCTTACCAAAAGGAAATTGATTATTATTTTTTTTTTTTTTTCAGTTTCAAAAAAAAAAAAAGAGAAAAATCGGGATTGTATTTCGGAGAAGGAGAAGAAAAAAACGGTTAAAAAGCAAGAAAAGAAATTGAATTAGGGTGGGGGCGTTATTTGAAGTAAGAAATTGTATTGTAAATTTGAACGAGGGATCTTCGTGTACTATCAAGTCAGTAAATTTGTGTCCCACTGGAGATCGAGTGACAACAAGTCTACTCAGTACTCTCCTGTTTTTAATTATTTCTTTACATGCCTTATGAGGAGGCGAAGTAACAACAAGTCTTCTGTTATACTAGTATACCACTATTATTATTATTCTGCTCTTGTATCTGTTGTTGTAGAAGGTCAAGTGACAGCAAGGCCTCTACCATTATTTATTATTTATGAGTAGTAGCAGACTTAGTACTACAGTCGTTGTAGTTTAAAAAAATAGTATCAGCAAACGAAATGAGATGAGATGAGAGAGTAATTCGATATATGATCTCTAATTTTTTCTTTTTTTCTTTTTTTACTAGAGAGACACTGATCCATTTTGCATTTCTAGGGTAATGAAATGTCCCTTGTTGATTTATATTCAAACGTTACACGCCCATGTGTATGTCTGCCTGTGTTGTGTAGTGTTTGTCAGTCGAATTCCCAATACAGGGTCACAGACTGGAATCGCATTCCAAAGATAAATATTTTGTCCTTAAAAATATTCGTGGTCTGCTTATAGTTTTTGGTGTAATAAAATAAAAAAAATATTTGTGGCGTTTATCCTGTCTCCAATTGATTAATGGGCTCAATTAAGAAGAGTAAGACTAAAAAAGAAAATCTATATACAGGGCAAGTCGATAGAGCTACTTATTACGGGTACCTGACCAAATAGAGAGAAATAAGGAAGATTGTGTTACGCCGATATTCGAAGTAGTAAAAAAAAAAAAAAAAAAAAAAAAAACCTTATTACCTTGAAAAGTGAAAACTAACATTCAAAATATGCCTATTGTATGTGTCACAAAAACCTATTTGGAGATTTAAATTTAAAAGGTGCGTTTATATATATAATTATTAACACTAACATTATTTCACGCATAAATTAAATTTTAACTGCATAATCCATCAGTCTGTATTTATTGATTAATTTTTTCATCAATATGCTATTTTTATTTGCCATTGTATTAAAATACATTTTTTAAATTTCTTTTTTACACTCAATGTAAGTAAATAGGTCGGTTAGTCGATTTTCTTTACAAAAAGCTTTTAAAAAAATGATTTTATTGTTTAGAAAATGTGTATTTTTAAAGTTTAAAAAAAAATGAGTATTCTAGTATTACTGTTTAGTGTTTAGTGTTTAGCTTTCAACAAGATATTTTTGGTCAGGACATCGAGTAATGGTTAGCGGCCTGTGCTGATTGATAATTACTGATTTTGATCCTCACTGTGGGTCCCGGGTCTAAGCTAGGTTTAAACATTTAAGTTCTTTCGTCCCATACGGCTTTTTCCGCTTTCAGTCTTTTTTCTTCTTCTTCTTCTTCTTCTTCTTCTTCTTCACAAATTGTATTTTTCCTCCTCTCCATTAGTGGCTAGTGGCGACTGTTAAATTTATTTTTTTAAGGCATGACCTTTATTCTTTTTTTTTTTTTTTTTTTTTGTAGCTTGTTATCTAAAAATAGACGGGAAATAGCCTCGACATTTTTGCTGAGGCAAACTCCATTTTACCGGATATGAAAGAATTAAATTTATTGTTATGATGCAATGTTTGGCCGCTTTTTACCATAAATAATTTTTTTCCACTTTAAAATGTTCATAAAAATATAGTCTTTACTCTTTACAAATACACAAACGTTCAATTTTCGCCATATTTATTCATATTGTATTTTTTTTTTTTTTTTTTTTCAATGTTATCCTTTTGTAGCTAATGCGCTATTTGGGTAGATCAAGGGCGAACGATATTCCACAGACCATCTTCATTATTCTAGCTTAGTCGTGTTGTTTTGATGATTTCAATTCTGCCTTGATTTGAATCATTGATACTTCTAACCTTTCGTCAGAAAACTCTTCTGAAGTGTTCTAAGCTCTCCATGTTCCCTTATTTCACACCTTTTTTTTTCTTTGTCAGGGTTCAGTTATTGCAATTTTTTTTTTTTCAGTCACCGATGCAGCAATGCTGCAATATCAACGATTTTTAAACAGATTTTCTCTTCTTTTTGTCTGTGTTTCTTTAAAAAAACACATCCGGACTTCTCCACTAAATAAGCCACAAAAAGAGTTGATAAGCTGTTAAAAATAAATCCTTCAATCAATCACCACTAAATTCGGAGACACGTTTGAAAACTTTCTCAAAGTATTGAAGAAAGGGATAATTAATTTTAATTTGCAGTTTGATATTGTCATTTACTAAGTTTATATATATATATTTATATATATATATATATATATATATATATATATATATATATATATAGAAGTTGTAGTATTAGTCCTGAAGTAAATTAAAACTAAAAGTTTTCTTAAATTACTGAGCATATCTGAAATTTTTTTTTTTAAGTATGTAAGAAACGCAGTCTTTTTGTCTTTCACATAAAGATGGATTTCCTGAGATTTTTGTAATGTCTGTATCAGTATCCCTTATCTCCCAGTGCTCCTACAACTACTGGAATAACGGTGGTGTTTAAATGCTACTTTCTCGTAATTTCTATTTCTATTTCTAGATATTTTGAGAGTTTATAAAGTTCTATAGCTGATTTTTTTTTTTAATCAGACGTTCTTGTCAATTATTATCTATTTTTTTTAAGTGTTCATGACTACATATGATCTGTTTGGTTGTACAGTGCGGTTGTTAGTGTGTAACGATAATGTCCCAGAGTAAATAATGATTAGTGTGTTTAAATCTACCTTTTCCTCACTATTTGGCGCAACTCTGGGATTCATGCCCGTGACAATCGTCAGGCACAAATTATTAGTAGTATAATTTCTTTTTCCTTTTACGTCGAGCGAGCACTGTTTCATTACAACCAGCACTCACTGTATATATCATATATATATATATATATATATATATATATATATATATATATATATATATATATATATATATATATATATATATATATATATATATATATATATATATATAATTGGTGTATACGGAATGAACTCCAATAACCAACAATTACTATTCTTAAAAAGAGTGCTCAATACAAAGTAGAGCAGATATAATAATTTTTATAAAAAAAAGAAAAAAATTATCACATAAATATGTTATAAAATCACTACAAAATTATATCTGCTCTACTTTGTATTGAGCACTCTTTTAAGAATAGTAATTGTTGGTTATTGGAATTCATTCCGTATATACCAATTATATACTTGGATATTAGCTCCTATTACTGTCGAGCCCTGTCTATTCTATTCTTATAATATGGATAGAATCAATTTCGGATTATCACTTAAGAACATTTCCACTACGAACAAAAGGAATTATTTCAGTTTTTAAAACCATTTATTTTATCTTCAACATCATCACTTAATAAGACACCGAGGGTGTTAAAACAAAATGGCTATTTTTGTAGTGATTTTTATAACATACTTATGTTATAATTTCTTTTTTTTTTTATAAAAATAATTATATATATATAATATAAAAAATTATAATTATATATATATATTATAAAAAAAAATATAACATAAGTATGTTATATATATATATATATATATATATATATATATATATACTGATTAGTAATTTGTAGATTTATTTAATTTTCATAATTCATCATCTCTACACCTAGAATCCTCAACATGCACACAGATGCAAAAAAAAGCACTGGACAGTCGTTTCGTCCTTTTTAAGACTCATCACTAGTGCGCACTGAGAATCGAACCCGGACCGTTATGATACGACGCAAGAGGAACACGCTGACAAAAGGAAACTAAGTTACTAGACATAATATAGCCTAGCTCATCCTATTTCCGGTGGTTATACTCATCCAACCATACATAAACCTATCTATCTATCTATATATATATATATATATATATATATATATATATATATATATATATATATATATATATATATATTCTGGTACTAAAAAATAAATTCAGCCATTTTCCCAGCGCAGTAACGTAACTCACCTGTGCATTTTCTATCAGTATTTTCATGGTAATTGTTCTGATTAACAGTTTCCTTTTTCGTCCCAAGACTTTACGAATTTAAGCGCAGTACTAGATTGCCGCAAGGTCTCAACAATTTACAGTTGAAATGGCTAGATGCAACCGTAAGTTCTATGCTAACACTTTCTTCTCTCGCACTTCTCGCTTGTGGAACCCTCTTTCGGCTTCTTGCTTCTCAATCAAATTTGATCTTCAAAAATTTAAATGTGATGTCAATCGTTATCTTCTGTCGTCTTAATTCCTGTTCTGATATTGTTCACTCTCTTTAATGATTTTTTTTCTCGTATTCTCTCCCACTTGCGTTTTAGTGACTTTATTGCCTTGCTTAGGGTGAAATGGTTTTAAAGAAATGTTATTAAAATATCGGCTAGCAAATATCTTGTAATGACTGCGCAATAATTCTCTATTCTAAAAAAGAAAGAACTGCTTCTCTGACCGTCATGCACTCTGCGTATGACATTGTATACACGAATGTAATGTATATGCTTTATGTCTGTGGTATACGTCAGTGACTTACATGTGCTTGTGTCATTTACTGTACACACACACACTCACACATACACACACACACACGCACACAATTTGACTGATTTTGAAATAAAGCTTTAAGTGTTCTCCCATGGGCTGAGTAATAAAATTATGAACTTGGAGACAAAAAAAAAAAAAATTAAACTTTGAAAAAAAATCAAATAATTCTGAGATTTTATTGAATTTTTGGAAATTAAAATTAATCGGTAATAAATACAATTAATTTTTAAAACTTTTTATTTTGTAGAAATATTTTTAGGTTTGTAAAAAATAAAAAATAAAAAAAATACGCGCATACACAAACGTACATACACACGATTTGTACGAAATTAGGCATCTGTGTTGCCATGATTAAATTTGTTTTCTATTTGTACGGCAGGGTAACGGAAAAAGAGTATAACCCAGAGTAAACTATGCTTTCTTGCCTTAAGTGGCAACCAGTCTAGAAGAAAGACTACTATAAATTTTAAATAAAGAGATAAACGTGAAAAAGAAAACGGCAAACTACTCCACTATCTTTCCAAAGACGACATGACAATTCGCAGAAAAAAAAATCTTTCAACCATATATTGAAACACCATTTCCCGAACGGTCACCGAAGTTAAGCAACGTTGAGGCCAGTCAGTACCTAGATAGACGAGCGCTTGAGAATACCAGGTGCTGTAAGCTTGGATGTGCAGGTAGTGTAATGGATAACAGCACGGAATTGTTAATCAGAGAGTCGAGTTCCAATTCCAGTTGGGTTCGTTATATTCACTTACGCGCAAATACCATTGGAAAAGGTATGAATCCAACTCTTCTCCCCTATCTATGGGTTAATTAGCAGGACTTGTATCAGTAAGTCATTATTATTTCCAATAAAAAAATTCTTACAATCTAAAAATATTTTCTGGCTTTAAATAACCTGCAAAATGTTGATAAGCCGTAGAAAACCAGTGTTTTGTGTAAGCTCCTAATCGCTATTGATTCCCCCCCCTCTTCTCGAATAATGCTGTGTTTACATAACTGTTATGTTCCTATAGCCTTGGGTAGTAACCAGTCTAGGAGAAAGACAACTCTGAATTTACAAACCCTGAGGGTCTAGGGTACGGACCGAGGGTCACCTACACTGTATTCCGTGGTCTTTGACTGTTGGTCAAGAGTTTGGAGAGGAGATGGGCGCCGCTAAGCTATCTGAAAGGATTACAAAGAAGGAGTCTTTCTTCTATCCTCAGGTACCCACGAAGCCTCCGAGGATTGAAGCAGCCGAGAGACAGACGGTGACTGATCTCGCAGGCCGTTACGAGTGAGCTCAAGGCTCACCGCTCTAGAAAATGCCATAGCTACTGTTTTTAGTATTCAGTCTGTATTTCTTTTTCTCTTCTTTTTTATTTTTCTTTCTTTTTTTTTTCGTTCTTTCCTTTTCCTTTCTTTTCTTTGTTTCTTCATTATTTTTCATTCTTTCCTTCTATTCTTTCCTTTTTTCTTTCTATTTTCTTTTTACTTTATTTTCTTTCTATTTCCTTTTTTCTTTCTTTCTATTCTTTCCTTTTTTCTTTCTTTCTATTCTTTCCTTTTTTCTTTCTTTCTATTCTTTCCTTTTTTCTTTCTTTCTATTCTTTCCTTTTTTCTTTCTTTCTTCCTATTCTTTCCTTCTTTTAGTTTTCCTTTTTTCGTTTTTTTCATTCTTTCCTTTTTCGTTCTTTCTTTTTTTTCTTTATTTCCTTTTTTTCTTTCTTTCTATTCTTTCCTTTTTTTTCTTTCTATTCTTTCCTTTTTCTTTCCTTCTTTTAGTTTTCCTTTTTTTCGTTTTTTTCATTCTTTCCTTTTTCTTTCTTTCTTTTTTTTTCTTTATTTCCTTCTTTCTTTTCTCTCCCCCCCCCCTCACTTTCAACAGTAGATCCCACATTCCCCGTTAAGTAGAGTTTCCACTTCTTAACGCTACATTCGGTTTATTTCGGGTTCGTGTTTACGCTGTTTATTATTATCTATGATGCAAGAAGCAACCAGAATTCACAATGTCAACCCTAAGATTTTTTTAAGGCTTACTCTTTTTTTCTTTACTATTTATTAATTTGTGCTACAGAAACGTAACCTTCAGCTAAAATATAGTTTTTATTTTTATTTTATTTTTTCTTGCTTTGTAAACCGAACTTGACAATATTCATCATTGAAAAATGAAAATAAAAATCTACGATGCTTTAGCTTTCGACATAATTGTTTCTACACACGATGCCGTCAGTGCATTCATGTGCTTCTAAAATACAACACAGACGACAACCATTATCAGTGCAACATTAACACGCAATATAATATCGTCGTTTATTTCTGTATTTGTATGTTTGTAAAATACTAACTAAATTGAGTAGATTAATAATGTGACAATAAATGTGACAATATGGAGTTCATTTTTTTCTGGTGGGTCGATGTGGGGTCTGCTACAGTTTATATACCTAAGACGTCGTTGTGGCACACGGCCTTTATGGAAACCCCTCGCGTGGGGGGCAAAAAATTGGCAAGCTTGTCTCCGAAGAGACATTTTGGAAGAATAGATCGAGCAACACTGTTAGTGTTGTGATTCTGTGCTAGACATAACAAATGACTCCCTTTTCTTTTAAAAAGGTATACTTGTAAAATTAGCTAGATTAACGGAACGGAGGTGCTTTTTAGTATAAAATTAAACAAAATTAACTTTTTAAAAATGTTTTTTATTTTATTTTTTAAGGCGGTTCTTATAGTCGAGATAATTATTTTACAGGGTGATCCGAAAGTCTTGTCAGCTCTACATAATTTTCTGTTTCAGATGGCTGACACGAGCTCCTACAGTTTGGAAGAGAGCTAGCGGGTGACAAGATTTTCGAACCACCCTGTATACTGAACACAAAACATGTATAGATTTGGAAAGTTTAATTTGTATAAAATATGAAAAAAAAAAAATGAGCTAGTAAAAAAAAAAAAAAAATAAAATAAATGCTTTAGGTGCGTAATGGAAATTGAGCCAGTCTTGTCGCATTTATCTCCCTTTCACCTACCAACCACTCGAAGCTCAACCCACAAAATCGCGTGATCCTTTTACAGCTTTGGTTGGAGGAGGGTCTTGAAATGTGGCTCGTTTCTATAGGAAACCACCACTTCGTCATTCGTCCTCTGTATTTAAAATGCGATCATGCCAGATTTATGTTAAAAGAAGCAGTTTCTCCCCCCATGTCTTTATATTACTCGGACGCGCATGTCTTATTTGTTATTGATGTCGTTTATATGAAAATCAATTTTTACTTTTTAACGGAAGAGGAAAAAAATTTAAACAATTTTTATAATACTATTTATTATCTACAATAACGTTTGTTTCGTTTTTTTTTTTCTTTTAATTTTTTTCCCATATTTACTTTTGTTTCTGGCTTTTATCTTGCATTTATTTATCGAACACTACGTTTTTTTTTTTTAAAACTAGTACATTATCCTTCGGCCTAAAACTCGAGTCGACCCTGTATTATTGTCTGGTCTGAAGTCATAACAAAAAGAGGAAGACAGTAGTCCGAAAAAATAAGCAAAAATAAATAGACTTCATCTCGGAAACTGTGTTCTACATTATCATCGGCATTTTTTTTCTTTAACAACAGAAACGTAGTCAGTAATTTAATGTGCAAAAATTCAGAAATCTCCAGATTCGCGATACAAGATTTTAAAAATTAAAATTAAAAAAAAAATAAATACTCTTGAAGCTATCTATAAAAAAAAAAAAAGACAATATGAATAAAGAGTAAAGACAGAACAAAACAAAAACTTTTCTTTACCAACGCGTTTCGTCCTCCGATGAACTTTATCAAATTATGTGTAAATTTAAATAAAATGTGTATTTATTTATTTATTTTAGTGGCATATCAATCTCTATGGGTTATGTCGAAAAATCTAAATATTTTTTTACGCGATTTTATTTATTTTTTCGGAGATAATAATGATTATATTAATACAAGTCTTACTAATTATTAACCCATAGCAGGGGTGTATACCTTTCCCAGGGATATTTGCGCGTAAGTGAATATAACTCACCCAACTGGAATTGGAACTCGGTTCTCCGATTAACAATTTCCGAACCGTTATCCATTTTTACACCACCCGCACATCGAAGCTTACAGCACCAAGGGGTCACCCATCTAGGTACTGAGCAGTAAAACTTTCAGATAGAGTATTATTATATCTTTATGGTAAAAGGACAATATGTACGTATATAGACAAAATCTTTTGGTTTTAGTTTTAACTAATGGCTTTTTTTTTAATGCGTCGAGACGCCATTAAAATTACACAAATAAATAAATTTTGTTTGTCTCTACCTAAAAACCCGATGATGAGATAAGAAAGTCGAAATAATTAAATATATAATTTTTGTTTTTCTTCCGAAATCAACTTTGGACAATTATTGACGGAATTTCTTCCTTGTTTGAGAAGGATCATTCTTAATTTGGAAAAGATGATCAATAATAATAAAATTAATTCCATGCCAATAGCCGGTACGCTGCCCGCACATTCACAACATAATTAACGGAGTGAAATCACTGGTTAATAATGGATGTATTTTTTTTTTTTTAAGGCGAAAATGTCTTTGAATCTGACTGTATGGTTTAGAACTGTAGTTCGTTATCTTAGATACAGAGGCCATTTCGCCTTCGTTAGGCGTGTTTTTCATTCTGACAGTAAGACGCCTAATGAAAAGGGGGGGGGAACAAGTTGTCAAAACTGAAAACAGTTTTTTTTTTTTTTTTTTCCTCTCACTTGTCTGATTTCTCTACTTATAAAATCAAATGACGATTAGCTCGAAAGAAAATTGTCTGTCCTCCAATAAGTCTAGAACTTACTTTAGAAATTGTCTAAATCAGGGTGTCGGCAACCTACGGCACGCGTGCCACGCAGCCGCAAATGACATCACGAAATCCGAACCAATAAGTGCTACAACGCAAAGAAGATATTTAGCAATTTCAAAACTGCTCACTCGTTGGACTCACATTAATAAGAAAAACTTTTAAAAACAGTTTATTTCTATTACTGTGGTTTACATATTATTGTATAAGTATTTTGTAGAACAGGTATATTGACCTTGACTTGTATAAAAACACGTATGTTGTTTGGTTGGCACACTGAATGATTTTAAAACCCTAGGCTAAATGGGCATATAGCAAAAGGTTGCTTGCCGAATCCTGGTCTAAAAATGTCTGCGAAAGTAGCTTAATTATTATTGATGTCCGTCAGGCGCCTAAATTTCATATGTCGCCCATTTTATGCTAAAAATGAGGTATATTTCAAGTTCATACCTTTTGCAGTGGATGTGGTTTGGTTAAAAACGTTAAAGAAAGACATTAAGTGTTCTTAAAAATAAAAATAAAAACGCTAAAAACGAATACTAGCCTTTTTTAATGACTCTTAGAATTTATAAGAGTTGGACCAAGAGTTCTTGTTTTTTTTTAATATCAGACGAGGACTAACAATTGACTTGGATCTCACTGTGCCAAGCCTTTATTTATGTGGTTTATAAATTGTCGCTCTCAAAACGAAATGCTCAAGAGTCTTCTTAATTTATTCTTGACCTTTTGTTTATTCAGTGTTAAAAAATAACAACAAAAGGATATTTTTCTTGGTTTGAAAATGAGTAACTCTTTTTAGTTTAACTTTGTTCATAAATCTTTTACCGCGTGTGTAACGTGTCTCTACGAAATGATGTAGCCGCCCCTAGATTGGCTACACTACAGCATTCATTGTCAAACTTTTTCGAATCACGGCCTCACTTAAGGGATTTTTTGTGTGTGTGTGTGTGTGTTTATAGCGGCCTAAGTAAAAATACTGTACAACTTCAGTTCTATTCACGTGGTAAAGTTATTAAAAATAAATAAACTTGTAAAATCTGACAGTGTACATATATATATATATATATATATATATATATATATATATATATATATATATATACACACACCTATTCATATTGAGATTGTATAAAATACAATTATGGCACAAGGCCAAAAAAAAAGGGGGAAATGTGTTAAGGCTGGTCTTCACTAATCCGATTCACAACCTATTCAGGCAGTCAGTTATGTGCCATGCATGATACATGCTGAGGCACTCACTTATCTTTCGATACAGGACGGACGAGGTAGATTTTATCCCGAAGTTGCCAACTGGTCGACCAGTTGTCATCCAAGACTATATAGAGTCAGTCTTTCTTTATGTTATGTGCCATGCGTGATACACGCTGAGGCGGTCACGTATCTTTGGATACATGACTGACGAAGCAGACTTTTTTTCCCGCAGTAGGTTGCCATTTCTTTTTATACTAGACCAGTTACCATCCAAGGCTATAGAATCCGGTTTGTTCTGCTATTTTTACCCATTGCTGGTGGGAGAAGAAGAGGATTCATACCTTTCCCAAAGGCATTAGCACGTAAGTGAATGTAATGGATTCGACTGGAATTCGAACTCGGCTCTCAGATTCCTCAATCCGGGCCTAACTTGCACATTCACCACAAGAACTCATCCATCACCAATCAATCCTCCATATACCATAATACCGCACGCATACGCTCAGGGAATCTAAAAAATCTGATGTTTTACAATGAACCCTAAAGCAAACTAAATGTCAAACTCAAAACAAACAAAATGAAGATAACTGATGTTAGTAGGACCCGTCCAACCCTCAAAAAACAAACACCTATTATGAAGTTCTAAGATATGAGCCATAATTTATATTAATAATAAATATACATTTATTTCCTGGCCGGTTGAGTTTCGATGTAAGTGTTGTGATATTGATGAGGAAAAAAAATGTATTTTTAATTATACACTTTTTTTTCTCCTATTTTGAAATATATATGCTTCACAACTCCCTCCTATACAGCGAAATATAAGTTATACCGGTAAAGAAAAAAAAAGT